CCCCAAAACCCCAAAACCCCAAAACCCCTTTTAAAGCTATTTTTCTAATTAGATTTCATAACCTGGAAATTTTGGATCTCTTTCCTCTTCTTGAACCATATCGATGAGCATGACAGTATTTCCTGAAATTCCCTCCATAAGAGAGTATGGTGAGTCTGGAAGGCCAACTTCCAGCCTTGAGGGGGTTTCGTAATTGTAAACAACAGTTTTCACATCATCATCTCAAGTGGATTTGGCAAATTTTTGAGCTCGGTATCTCCATTTTAGATCTCCTGTTGCTCGATATAGAGAGTGAAGGACATATGCATTGCCACTGATTCCATGGCACACTCCAAAGCCTTTCAGGAGTAATCCTCTCTCCCAAATTATTTCACCTGCTTTCTCTGCTGATTTGAGATAGCCCTCATCAGTATAAATCTCTGAAGCAAGAATTAGAAGTGGAATAGCACCTGGAGCTCCATGTCAGAAATGTAATAGTTTTCCGCTAGTATCTCCAACTTTGTTCGGAAAGTTGCCAGATTCCAACTGAATATCAACCAAAAAGTTTCAACTTCTTTGAATAGTTTCCATGAAATCTTCACTATCTGAAAGCTTTGAGCTAACTTTAGAGGCTTCTAAGAGCATGTACAGAATACCAATCAGCCCATGAGCTCCTCCAAGGTAGGGTTTACCTTCTTCTCTAGGAAAGCTGTAAAGTAGAACTGACTCTGATTCACCCTTTTCAGATCCAATTTTAAACAACTCTAGAGCAACTTCTTCAATAGAGCTTAGCAAGGTATCTTTCATAAGTTTAGCTATAAGTTATTTGTAAAGTCTTACTTAAATCCAGTTTGTATAAAGTCAGAAGGCAATACAGATAGCCTGCGTTACCATATAAAATTTCATCTTCAGCCTTAGATCCAAATCACAGCTTCTTAGCCTGGATGAGCAAGTCAAAATATTTCTGAAAATTTTCAGATGCATCTTCATCTTCTGAATAGTTGTGATAAAATAGACAAGCCATTGTGTAAATCCCTGCAGATCCTTGGAAGAAGGAAGGGCTTGTTCATTTTCTTCCTTTCAATGAGGCACTATTGATAATTTTGCAGTTGATTTCGAGTGCTGATAAAAAGTCAGTAGCTAATCTTTCTTTTGTGGAATACTCTCCATACTGGAGAAGTTTGTAGTACAGAACCAGCTAAACATAATACTCATAAAATACATTCCCGCCTGTTCCTGTATAAATAGCCGGATCTAGCTTCTTTTTACCATTAGAGTACAATTTCGTGGACCTATAAGAGCTCAACCCCAAATTTTTAATCTAAAAGAATTGCTAAACCCTCAAAATCCTTCTTAAGCCCTCTAAATCACCTTTCAGCAGGGTATTTCATTCTGATATCTTTCATATTAATCGCTATTTGGTTGCTGAAGTCCTCGTAGTCTTGTTCAAAATCATATTTTTCATCTTCATCAAACTCTTCATAAAAATTCTCCATTCATCGATGCTTGGCCATTTTTAAATATTTTCAATATTTTGATGATCTAGAGGGGTTTTGGGGTTTTGGGGTTTTGGGG